GGCCTGAAGTGCATCATAAAACTCTGTCTCAAAAACACACAATTTTCCCCCTTCTTGATTGTGTTTTTAAAAACATACAGCATGGAGATAATGTATTCACATACTAAATTCACACCCAGCTCTGTGACCTAGAAGATGTGAGAAGTAGGCACTATAGCATTTTTATGAAGATAATTTCCCTTTTTCCAAGCTACAAGCATTAATTTCTGCTGTATACTACTATGTAAGAATTTGAGATTTTTATATATGTATGGGTAGTGCAATATACACATTCATACACACACAGTTTAGCACACTGCTGGAATGTGTGTGTGTGTGTGTGTGTGTAGCTTAGCATATTACCTAGTAAGCCCTGGATAATTACTGATAACTACGTAACGTAGTTTTCCATAATTGAAGACCAAGAAACAATGTACTTAATATAAGCACTATGCTTTCATTTTGTTTCCTTCCTTTGAAGTAATAAAGTGCTGTATTAGCTTCTTTAATGTAGAATATATGTATGTACTTAGCATTTTACTTATTTTTATTTCATACCTTGAGGCTATATTTAAAACTCTAAAATATGTTCTACCAAACTCTAATTTCTTTTCATAATTAGATATAATTCAAACCCTTTACTAAACTGTAGTCATTGTTAGAAATTTAGTTTTATGTAAATTAGGTAAATTTAGTTTTAGGTAAAGTGCTTACTTGAGTTGCAAAATTTTGTCTGAAATTTATAAAATCTTGGTTTTTGTACAATGTATTCTGAAAATGTAAATATTTAATGCAGTGCTAGAGTGTGAGACCATTTTAAATTGGTCTGTGCCAAGCTCAGATGTCACTTGGCAATTGCTCAGGAAAATGTCATGTGCATCATTAGTTCTGCCCTTATCATGACTCAGTGCCTATTTAGGGAGCGTAAACTCTGTACCAGCAAATATTGACATAAAATAACATGAAGCAAGATTATAACATTAGTTTGTGAGATAAGGAACACTTGCACTTCATGCAGGGAGGAACTATTTCTTGTTCATTTAGTATTCTTAGTACATGGTGGCTTTGTGTGGCACTAGGTAAAGCGTAAATCTTAGATTCATTTATGTGCTAATATTTAAAAAACATGCGACTGGAAAATAGTGATGTAAAGGCTAAAAGATGATTTTTTCTAAATGCAAATATACTGGCAAGAACAAGTCTTGTAACAGTGTAGGCTAGTAGAGGGAACTTCTAAGGAAATTTAAATCCCAGCTGGATTTACTCAATTACTCAATAGGGTCGGCCTCCTGTAATAGTTTTCCAGGTGCTCCTGTTGTATAGCAGCCATTCTACCTCCACCACTTCACTGAATCAGGACTATCTTTTATGCATGTAAGTTCTTGTTACCATTCTGTTTAATACAGATTTTTATTCTATTTTCTGAGATACTCTTGTTTTATGGAAAAATCTTTTTTGTTCCTTTTTTTCCCTCCTACCTTCTCTGCCTTCTTTCCTTCCTTTGTATTGACAGAATTTTAGTGTAAAAAGCTGTGGAATACAATGGTGACCTTCTTTGGTTTATACTTCCTTACAGTCCCAGGGAGGAGTACTTTCAAAGGAGAAGCATTAGTCTACAGAGTTAAAAACAAGGACTCAGCATTTTGACAGTGCACATGTACACTTCACAGACATTCCTTTTAGACCTGGAGCCATTTAGAGATGCAAAGCACAGATGGGATTGAGCCAAGTCTTGCTGCCTCAGAGCAGTGCTCACTCACGTAAACAAGTATCAGTGCAGATTCTCATGTCATTTGCACATAGCACTGGGTATGCAGACATACACTCCTTTGTGCGTGCAGCTGCTGTGGCTACATTTGGGGGTCCTCTGAAGTTCTTATGACAGTCTGTTCCCATACCGGCTCCACACCTAACATAATCACTTATGGAGAATAGGGAAGGAGGTTTACTGGGCTTTGAATATGCGCATTATGTTTCTGTTTGTGAGGATGTATATGGCAAGGTCCAGTGGGATGTGTGGGGTGGAGGCATTGGTGTGTGTAGCCAGAACTGCTCTCGACTCAGTGAAGTTTCCTTATACAGTTGATTCAATTGTATAGTGTTTTTACTTGAGAAAGGAGAGTCTTGAAGTTTCACAAAATTACAACAAAAAGTAGTAGAGACCCTACAAAAGAAAACAGGCTTCATCAGTGTTTCTCCACTTTACTGTCAGTGCATCAAATCATCTTTTGGAAGGTCGGCATTCCTTAGTGGAAGGAAGGGTATGAAAAACCATTTTGGTTTGAAGTTTAGAATTTGCCTGCTGTTTTTAAACCAAAATGTCAATCTTTTTATAAGGTATTACGTTCTGCAATAGTATCAGTGCTTCAAGCACTAGGTTGTGGCTCATCTTGCCTAGTATTTAAATTCAAGTATTTATGCCAGTTGAATTTGTAGGGATTATTTTTAAAAAACATTTATTTATTTATTTATTTATTTGGTACAGGGTCTTTCTGTGCAGCTCGTTCTTGTAGTGATCCTGCTGTCTCAGCTGCCCCAGCTCTGGGATTACAGGCATGCACCACCCCAGGACTGGACTGCGTGTGGTACCGGGAGTGAACCCAGGTCCTCGCGCTTGCCAGGCAGGCTCCTAGACTGCCGAGCTATCTCCCCAGCCTATATCAGTTTTTCAGCTCGAAAGAAAAATCTTTTTAGTGTATCATCTAAAGATAAATAGTATGAAATTTCACCCAAATGACCGATTTTATTATTATCTAAAGTGCTAATGACCAATTTTATTAGTATCTAAAGTGCTGCTGTCTGACTTTGCATTTGATAAAGGTTAACCAACTTCCATTGTAGTCATTGCACTCTGGCCTCATCCTTCGAGGCAATTCCCTCATTTCACTTTCCTAAAATTTAGTCTTGGGCTGGCGAGATAGCTCAGCAGACTAAAGCTCCTGCTTAGTCAGGTGCAAGGACCAGGTTTTGATCCCAGGTGTGCAGTGCCAGCCCTGCTCCAGGGGCATGCCAATACAGAGAATGAGACTGGGCATGGTGGCACATGCCTATAGTCCGAGCACTTGGGAAGCTGAAAACAGGAGAATCAACTACAAGTCCCATCTATGGAGTGAAACCCTGTAGGTCCTGTACTAAATACACTTTAAAAAATTACTCTTTTTAAAGATAAATAGAAATAATTAATGCATGTTAATGAGATAATTATTAGGATACTGGATACCAGTATCTTTCATGGTATAAGAAAAATATTAAGTATAGAATATCTTAAATTTATAGAAAGGCATGATAGAGTCATAACAATTCTTAGTAAGAATGTGATTTTGTGTATGTTTTAAAAATAGAGAAAATTTATCTTTTATCATTGGAAGATGGCTAACAAAGAAAATAAATGCTATGAAATGACAGCCCTTATAGATAATTAGAATTAATGAAGAAGGAAATTCACAAACTAAAATTAGGTAAGTGAATATTGATGGCATATCAAGGGATGAGGATGTAATATCTTTTTATACTTATTGAGGATGTTTTTTAAGGTTTTGACTTCATTTAGATATTTTCGTAAATCCTCACAAAATCATGTTTCTTGTTTTTCATCCTTCTCTCCTTGTCCTCTTCATTCTTACACTAATATATGGTGATTGTTTCCTATCTTTTTATATTTGTGAATGTACATATTGTTGACATTTTGCTCTTTCTTTTGTGTAAGTAGTTCATGTTTCCAGCATGCTCTCCTTCAAATGGGAAATTAGATGCAGACTAATAGTCAGTGCTTTGGACATACTGGTCCACAGTGTCAGAACAGGTTGGGAGAGGAAAAAACTGCCCCTCAGACTGTGTGCTCAAGAGCAGGGACTTGTGGGGACTGGTGGAGACTGCTGCCACGAGCAGTCTTACTGCTTCCCAGTTAATCTCTGCAGCTTACTTGGAAAAGAGCTGTAGTGATGAATAGTCAGACGCTGTGCTTGGATGCCTGCAGACATTTCCGAGGAGTGGAGGGTTGACAGTGGGTGGTGACTGATGGACACTCACTGTGTTTGTGATGCTTGAAGTAGTCCCCTGTTTTTCTTTCTTCACTCAGTCCCAGTGCTTCCTTTTTTCAGGCAGCCATCTCATACTGCCTTGTGGATTTCACCGAACTGTTTACTTTCTCACCCCATCTTCCTTCACTATTTTGGGTTCTTTTCTATTTACCATTTTCACTGGCTCCTGGGAAGTATGAGAAGTCAGTGTATTTTCTTATTTTGCAATTTTCTGAAACACACATATGAAAAGCCATGATCTATATAACAGTTTTTATCTGCAGTGTTTTATTTACCAGTTTCATGGAAAAAAATTGCTAATATTTTGCCAGTCAAAATAATCTCTTATTCTACTATATAATCTTTTACAGGTGTCTAGCAAGTCAATAACCCCTTTGAATTTTTGTTATTATATAGTTTTCTATGAAATGTTCATTTTTATTATGCATTTACTATGAAATTCTGTTTTTTTTTTAAGTGTACTGAATCTTTATACAATATAAGTAGGATTCTTTGTAGTCACATTTTCGTAAATGTCTGTTTTGTTTTCTCTCTGAATTTATTTATTTTTCAGTGCTAGACAATGAACCCAGTACCTTACATTTTCTAGGCATACACTCTAGTACTGAGCTGTACCTCCATCCCCCACCTTTACTTTAATAAATAAATATGCATATTTTATGAGTTGTTTATTTGACTATGTTCATCCTCTTCACAGTTTAAATTATTTGAAGTAGTCAAAAAAGGTTATTGCCTCTGCAAAAAGATAAAGTACTATTTTTTTGTTTCACTAAACTTTCTAAAATTAATTTTTGTGGAGCAATTTTGTGGATGAATCCGCAGAAAAATGTCTTGAGAACCAAGAAAATATTTCTTCATCCTTTTCTTAGAAGAGTTAATTAAAGGAAGGAACAAAGTTTATTTGGTGTTTTAAATTAAGTATATTCCTATTTTATGAAATGCTTTGAAATATTTTAAGTCAAATATTTTTGTGTTTTCTAGATTATTGCTCGGTTGTAACAATTGTGGACCAAACAAATGTAAAGTTAACTTGCCTACTCTTTAGTGGAAACTATGAAGCCCTTCCACAGATTTATAAAATTGGAGACATTGTGCGCTTTCACAGGCTAAAGGTATACTTCATACTTTCTGAACTTATGTTTATTTGACAAGAACTCTTTTATTATTACTGTGTATTACATGGTTTCTTTGTTAGAACATGACACCAAGCATTTCAGATATTAAAAAATATGTAAATGGTATCAGATTCCAAATAACGTACAATGAGACACGTCTTCACTTAGATAAACTGCCTTCCCAGAAATACACTGGGTGCTGTGATTTAGACTAGTCAGATTCTGTCATCTCACTTCAAAATACAGGTGGGTGGTCTAAAGTTTTCCATATGAGTCTGATAAAAAGACAGGAGTAAGCAGCCTCTTGATTTCTTTTTATTTGTCTTTTTGAGACAAAGGTTTGGTATATTGCCTCACCCTTTTGAGCCCTAGAAGTCTTCCCCCCTCCATTTCCTTTATTTATTTATTTATTTTTATTAATTTTATTCAGAAACAAATAGCAATGAGACAGTTTCAAAACAGGTGAGTAGGACAGTTTCAATAATTAATACATTGCATATCGTTGTCTTCATAGTGGTTATTTATAGTACAAGATGCAGACATGATATCCTGTCCAAACACTATTAGTACAAATCTCATTGAATTAAGAGAAAGTAACTGTATATCTATCCTGTTTTGTATATACAGATATAAAATGGTCCTTCATTTATATCCCCTTTTTTTGTTTTGTTTTGTCAGAGATGGGTATTCCATTGTCATTTAAATGTTGTAGGTATATGAATTCAGCAAAAAAATCCAATATAGTCCAGTAGTCCATAATAGTAGTGGCTTATCCGTAGGTCTGGCAATGTCAGAAGTTGTTGACTGGAGCCTTTTACAGCTCAGCATATTAATATGGCTTTACTTTTTATACCTGGTTTTTATACTTTTCTTCTGGATGGGTAAGACCAAGATAAAGCAAGACCTGTATAATAAGAAATGTAACTTTTGTATCTGACAAGGTCAGTCAAATCCCTTCAGGATTTACTCGGAAACCCTGTATCGCAGTTTGTAAATCCTTTGTCAGTATCAGCCATGTGGATGAGTCATGGCCCTTGCCTGACTAATTTGCTCTCTGCGAAAGCCTGAGAGAATGTTTTCTCTCTAGGTGCCCAGGCTGCGCTGCTGTGTGCTGCCTTTCTCCACTGCGTCCTGTCACTTCTGTATCCATCTGTGTTTGTGCTGTTTTCTCTTTGTGGTGGGACTAGGCAGTATGCAGTTCGGGTTTTCTTTTTCATATGTCCGCTTACTTTTGATTAAGCCATATTTCTTGCATGATTTTACTTTGTTCATTTTTAGTATTAAATATGATTACTGTATTGAGACATCATATTTTGTATGTTTATTCTGTTCTTGGACATTTAGGTATTTTTACTTTGTGGATGTTATAGAAACTTCTACAAACAGTATAGTACATGTCCTTTAGTGACTATAAATATACTTACAGCTATCCATATATACTTTACTTAGTTATATGACAAAAAGTGTAATTGCTAGGCCCTAGAATGTGTTTATGTTCATATTTGGTTTTGCAAAGTAATTATACCAATTTGCTGTTGTTAATAATTTAAGAGAATTCTACTTGGTCCATCTTTCACCAACACTTGGTATTTTCCATTTTAAACATATTAGTATTACTGTGGTTTTCACTTGAATTTTCCTGAAAATTTATAACATGGAGAACCTTTCAAATTTTAATATTTTCTGATGTATAAAATATCTGCTCATTTTGTATGGGTTTTTATTTCCCATTCTTAATTATTCTCAGAACTTAGTTATATATTTGGGCCTAGGGTTTTTCCTTTTCATCAGACTTATAGGTAATGAACATCTTTTCTCACGCTTTGGGGTTCCTCTTTGCCCTCCATCCCCTGAGATGGGAACACGTATAGTGCTAGAAGCACAAAAAGGCCAGCCTGGGTGCTATTCAGTTGTGAGAAGTGTTATAGGAAAAAAAAAAAAATCAGAGAAAGAAAGTAGGCAGGAGCACATGTACTGGATAGGAAAATACAGTAAAACATTTATGGTTTTGAAACTTACTTGAAAGCCAGGTGAAATGATCCACACCTGTAATCCCAGCACCCAGGAGGCTGAGACAGGAGGAGTGCCTGAGGTTGAGGCCAGCCTGAGCTGCATAGTGAGACCTTGTCTGAGAGAGACAGGGAGACAGAGACCGACAGACCGTAGTCAAAGGCGTGTTGCTGTTGATTCCCTTTAAAATCCCCCCGCCTTGCTTCCAACACGCAGTCCATTGTTCCTGCTGCTTTGTGAAGTTCCCAAAAATCCTCTTTCATAGCTTTGTTCTCTTATAGCTGCCTCCCTGTCTTAAGTCAATTTGAAACATTTACCTTTCTTGGCCATTATGACTTTAGGGAAGATCCAAAAATTTCACGGTGCCAGATCCAGTGAAAAATGTAGATAGGAGGAGCCAGCCGTGCCACTGGATGGCACTTGACAACCGTTTTTGTACTTATACCTTGCAATGCCACTCATGAAATAGGACTTTCAAAATTGTTTTAGAAAATGACAAGAATGATGAGTATATTCAAAGCAAAGGGGAGTCTTTGAAGAGTAATTAATAGTAATAAGTCTTTTACCATATTTTTTATAAATTCAATAATTCGCTATATGTTCTGGCCTACCTGTTACGGTCTTATGAATTAAATTTTATTCTAGGTACACTGAGAAGTCCCTAGAGAATTTTAAATTAAAAATAAAATGACTGGGTTAAATTTTTGAAAGAAAGCGTTCTGGCAAACATGGACAGAAAATGAGTTGTTGAAGGATGAACGTTAGATCAGTTAAAAGATGATTTTGTTGTGACATCAGAAGATGAAGATAGCTTGGAATAATGTCCTTTCGCAAATAGAATCTGATACTGTATATTAGAATATAAATCAGTATAATTTTTAATGTCAAGCAAAGATAACTTGCTGATAGATGAGATGCAAAACCAAGTTATCAGTAGGCCTAAATTAGATTTTTGTCTGTACTGACGATTAGCAGAAACAAGCTTTGGGAAGTAGTACAATGAGCATGGAATCAGTGATCATAGCACCAGAATTACAAGGTGTTTGGGGAAAGCTTAAATTGGAAAAGAAAGCAACATATGCAATAGACAAAAAAAAAAAAAAAATTATGAGTAAATGCATGTAAAATAAGTTAATTAAGCCACATAGGAAAAGTATAAATTAGAATCTGCAGAATGAATTGTATCTATCATTAAGAAATTATTTGGTACTAGAGTATTGCTCTGAAGCTGGAACAGCGCTTGGCATCCATTGCACAATAGATAGCTATGATAAGAGAGAAGAGAAACATATAGTAAGCTATGTGACTACCACGTGTCTGTCTGGGGACAGTTTCTCAACCATTGGACAGTAACATGATGTATAAACTAATTCTGCCAACTTGAGGAGGTGACTATCAAACTTCTGAGCAGCCAAAAACACCTGAATCTTCAAGTCAAGGCATCAGAAGAAGAACTACATAGAAATACCTATCCAAAAATCTACTAGCAGTAGGGATGGGTTGTTACCTCTGGATACTGATTAAAATCTGGGTTTAAGGACTTCAAGAACTACTAATAAGAGTCCATATAAAACAGATACTAGAGTTCCAGCAATGAGAGAATAGTGAGACATGACTGGTTGGGGTAACCTTACAGCTCAGAAAACACACAGAGCCCTGCTTCACAGAGTACATTATCCATATATAAGGCCTATTTTACACATACTTTTATGTTTATGTCAAAGATAAGAATCTTTTACTTTTAGGACTCACTTTGCAAATAGATTCACCCAAATAAGGTAAATTTCATAAGGTAAAAGAAGCTCATCAAGATTTAACTATTCATCTATTAATTGAACTCTCAAATTCAGAAAGAAATAATCCTCTTACCATATCTTAGTTCTCTCAGTCACACTGGTTAAACTTTAGCTTTAAGTTGCACTTATTATTTTATGTACTCATACACTAAAATAAACTAAAACACTGTCACTTGCCTTTTTTCCTTGTATAAATTGTACCTTTATAGAAAATCAAAGACAATGAAAAAAAACACAAGCTTGATAAAAATAGGATGACTGTCAGCTAGCTTTTAATATTTTTATAGTGTGGATCTTAGTATAGCGCCAATTGATTTTATAATTTCATGTGCTAATTGAATGAAAAAGTAAAAACCTACATTCACTGTTACAGTGGAAATTTTTAAATTTCTCTAGTTTCCTTGGTTTCTGGGTTCTTTGTCAGCAAGCTATATTGTTTGTACCTTTTCTGTTATTTGTTTTCTACTTTCCCTAACTTTCTCAGATCCAAGTATATAAAAATGAGCCTCAGGGTATCACCAGCTCTGGATTTGCATCCTTGACATTTGAGGGAACCTTGGGAGCTCGCGTCCTGCCGCGCACTTCAAGCAAGTGTTTTCACTTCACTGCTGCTGACCACAAAATGGTAGAAGCCTTACGAATTTGGGCATCAACACACATTTCACCTTCTTCAACATTGGTTCAGTTGTGTGATGTTCAACCCATGCAGTATTTTGACCTGACATGTCAACTCTTGGGCAAAGCACAAGTAGATGGCGCATCATTTCTACTAAAGGTACATTTTTAATACTTGAAATTTTAATTTAGTATCACCTGTGTGTCTATAAAGAGCTCACAGTATTCTAGTGGAATAAGTTTGCATACCGTATATCATACTAAGATCTTAAATTCTAGTTTACCATTTTTGATGAGATTCAGTATTCCCTCAGCTCTGTTTTTGTACTTCTTAAAACTTTCCATTCACAGAAAAAATAGTATGAGATCTATATTTTAAAGATTGTATGCTTTATTATTAGGAACAAAATATAAATTTATGTATGCTTTTTTTTGTTTGTTTGTTTTTAATGTATTTGGTTGTTGCAGGGTCTCACTACACAGCTCCGACTTCTGTTTTCAGCCTCCCCAGTGCTTGGATTACAGGAGTGCACTGATGTGTCCAGACTTTGGCTGGCTCAGCCCATCCTGAGGGCAGGGCCGGTGCAGCATGTAATGTAGGGGATCAAACTGGATGAAAATAACATGTAGATTTCAGTTTGCTCCAGGAAGATTAGGTGGATGAATGGTGGTTGCTATCTGTTTGGGTAAAAAAGGATCAGATGTCTATATTATATATAAATTTCCAATAGATTGAGTTTTGAAATGCTGTTATAGAAGTTCCAGAATTGAAATTATTTAAATATGCATACACATACATTCATGCAGTTCTGAAGGGGAAGGATGTAGGGAAATTCTTGAAAAACCTTTGAGTTCTCCCACACTTAGCTATTAATACCTACCTGATTGGCCAGAAGAAGCCTTTAACAGCTATTTAACATGTGTTTTATAATAGATTTGTATATGTTTTGTAGTAAGTGCTATAAACTCATCTGCATGCATCTTATGCATTTAAGATATACCCACTTTATATACATAAATATTTCTAGTCTATGTAACTAGTCTCCAAGTTGTTTTTCAAAGGCCTTGTATTTTTCAAGGGTCAGCTGTGTATTTCTCTGTGTGTGTGTGTTTAGTTCAGGATTTCTGGACAATTACAGCTAGACCATAAAAGCAGCATGGCAGCCCTCCTGCATCTTACTCTACCTCTGGACTGCTGGATTGGTCTGTACAGTCCAAAATGCTAAAATCAAAAAACACTGTTCTCAAAGAATGAAGTCTAAATGGAGAAAAATGCTGTGACCTGCATTGTTTACCATGACATAACTGTTTACTTTAAACGTCTTGCTCTACCAGGATTACACTTCCCCTGTGACCTGACGCTGGTATGTCACTGATCCTGACCTTTTCTACAAAAATCTAGTGTTTCTCATCAGAATAGCCTGTTTGTTCTGGCTGATGCAAGCTTTCTCTTACATGCAGAGACATTTCTACCTCACACCATTGTCCTTTGTCATATCCTTTTATAGCACAGCACGTCATCTCTTAAAATCCAAGCACAGCCCAGGCTGACTCATGCCATAAGGAAGTGCATGTTTATTTATTCGATGCCTGTGATCCAGGCATCTCAGTGTCACTTATGTGACAGTTCAGCATACAGTTTCCTTTTTCAGCGACTGTTACTTTCATTCATTTCTAAATCAAATGTGAATAAAATATTCATGTATGTTCTTTTTAAAAGAAGCTTTTCTAAATCAGAACAAAGTGAAAAATTAGCAAAAGTCAGAATACGTTCCTAGCAGCCTAAGAATTTAAGAAACTGAGCAGAGTACTGAAAACAATTTAGGTACAGGATGGTAACATCTGAATTAATTATCTATTTTGCAGTTCTGGGAATTGAAACCAGGGTTTTATGTATCTTAGCCAAGTACTCTACCAGTGAGTTATATCTCCAACTCCTGGATTATTTAAAATAGTAAAAAGTTTAAAGCAATACATCTAAAAAATTCGCTCAAATAAATTTATATCAGGGGCCAGAGAGATAGCTCAGTGGTCTAAGTGTCTACCTGGCAAGTACAAGGACCCAGGTTTGCTCCTGGTACTGCATGCCATGCCAGCTTTGCCCTGGGCATGCCGAGCTGGGCACTGAGACCAGGCATGCTGGCACATATCTGTAATCCCAGCTCTGGGGAAGCTGAGACAGGAGATCACTATGAGTCTGAGCTGTGTAGCAAGATGCCGTACCAAATGCATAAAATGAAAGCACCTGCAAGCAGGCGCAGGGGCCAAGGGTTCCATTCCTGGGCCTGCTGTGCCAGCCCCTCCCCCAGGGCATGCTGAGACAGCAATGAGACTGGGTGTGGTGGCGTGTGCCTGTAATCCCAGCTCTTGGGAGGCTGTAAACAGGCAGATCACTGTGAGTCTGATCTAGTAGTGAGACCCTGAACACCCTGTAGACCCTTCCCTGAAATACAAAAACAAAACAAAGAAAAACACCAAAATGTGAAAAAATAATAAATTTGTATCTATATAATAAAATGATATTAAAATGTTGAAAATAGTATTTTAGAATAATATTGCCTGATAAAGTATTTAGGATTAAACTAAAAAGAGTGCAGAATATAATTTGTTTCAAATATATGTATTATGTGTGCAAACAGACGAAAAGATGAAGTCAACAAAATGTTTGTCTAGAGTCGTAAGAGGATGACCTTTTTCTTTAAATTCTTCTAAATATTTTACATCACTCTTAGTTCATATTTAACATATTACAGATATTTAAATGTATATATTTAGCTATTTTTTAATACCATTATTAGAAAACTTTTACTCCAGTGATTTTTGTTTCAGAAAGATCCTTGTACTTTGCTCTTCCTTTGTGGCAGGTGTGGGACGGCACCAGGACACCATTCCCATCTTGGAGAGTCTTAATAGAACACCAAATTCTCGAAGGTGACCTAAATCACATTCGGCGGCTCCAGAATCTCACAATAGACATATTAGTTTACGACAACCATGTTCAAGTGGCAAAATGCCTTAAGGTGATGTGGAGTAGCACAAATGCTTACTGCTTTATGTTTATAGATATATGTAAAATATTTATATATGTACTAATTTATATATATGCATTTATATTTTTTACTTTTATGATTGCTGGTCATTTAAATTATGATAAGTAGGTGATTTAAGGATTATAGGTGATACCTAGAATTACTAAATTATAAAATGCACATGCAAAATAGAATTGTAAGATATAAGGAGAAGACAGTTCTTTTAAAATGGATCCTTTCTATTTTATATCCATATACAGTTTTACTGTGAAATTAGTAAGGAATGTCAATATACTGCTATGAAATGAAAAGATGTATTAACTCTTGTTAACCTAAGCTATTTTAATTGGTTTGATAGAACACATAATAACTTACACTGTTGAAGAAATTGTTAAATTGCCCCTCATAAATATTATAAATTAAAGGGATGTAAGTACTGTATAGTTTATGAAATTTTCTTACTGTTTTTGACAATTTGATTAGAATTTTTAGGTAAGTAAACAGCTTAGGTATGGCATTTCTTTTTCTTTTTTTAATTTTATTTTCTTTTTTTTGGTGGAACTGAGGATTGAAGTCATGCCCTTGCGCTTGCCAGGCAAGTGCTTATTCTACTGAGCCATCTCTCCGGCCCCTGGCAGTTCTTAATTAGGAATAAAGATAGCGAATATTTTTCTGCAATTTATTTTAACTTTTCTTTGAAAGTGTCCTTTGCAGCAAATAATGGTATTATAAATATTCACATTTGGTAGACACACCTCCATATGTGTCAGGTACTATCCTACAGAAGAGCTCTGTCATCTGTCCCTTTATAACTGAGAAAGTGAGGAGGTTAGGTGAGGTGTCCCAAGATTGCACAATTGTTGCACGGTGCCAGTGATGAAGACACAGAGCCTGTTTCTAGAGCCAATTTTTTTGTGCACTAAAATGAAAGGATCTTCTTTATTGCAAATATCTTTCATCCTCCTTAGTTATAAGAATTAAGAGGTAGTTAAAAGAAAAACAGTAAAAGTACAAATCTTTATTTTGGTGCCCAAGTTTCTTTAGTAAAACATGCACTCATCAAGGAGAAAATATTTCTCCCCTCATTTTATTAAAAGAAGCTCACACAACTCTAGCTAATAAACTAAGTTAAAGCCAGTGCCAGAGAAAATAATAACTACACTATTTTTGTCTTCTATAAATGTGTGTGCATGTACACATGTATACACATGACATATAAGGAAAAATTTTTCAGGATATACTTTTATTATTTTTATCTCAAAAGTACTATTTTCATTATTATTTTACTGCAAAAGAAAAGCATAATGGTAAACCAAATATTAAGGCTTATTTATACATAGTTCTTTAAAAAAAAAAAAAAAAAACTTATAGTTTAAATTGCCACAATTGCACACTCTGAATTATCTACTCTACCTTTTGAATTTTTAATGGGATTTCCATTTCCACTCACTGAATCTGTTTTCCCTTTGTGGTGTTTTTCTTGTCTAAGTTATGAAAAGAATGTGGCATAGAGCTTTGCATATAGAAAGCATGAATCCTTACCTGCTACTTAAGGAGTCAATGAGTCCTGTGAATTCTTTTCTTGTCTGTCCACTAGAGGGTGTTATAAGCTTTCACAGTGTATTTACAACACACTTTCTTTCTAAAGACAGCCTTATATTATTCATATGCAGTGCAGTATAAAACTATAAAGAATTTTGTACCTGGAACTTCAGTGTGTAACTTTCTGCGAAGAAATTTTAGACTGGTAGCTAATGTATGTGGACATCACGTTTTCTGACAGCCTCTAACACCAGCATTAATTTAGGAAATCTGTTACATGACATCGATGCAAATGAATTTTTATCAACATTTCAAGAAAAGGATTTGTTTGCATTTTTAGCTCAAAATATTTGGGGCCCATTTAGTGTGTTGCCTAGGAACACAAAAACATTTTTAATAAAGGGGATAATTAGTGTAATTACATAGTTAAAAATAATCCATTTCTGTTTAGCAACTCATTTTAAAGGTTAAATAACCATTAACTCTTTCCTGAATCTTGATTTTAAGTATGATTTTCGTGTCATTCCTAAAACATTTTGCACACACATGCAGACACAAAATGACATATCAAGCCTTTTGTTCAGAAGTTAAAATCATATTTTAAGTCCTTGTTCTCCTACTGAAAATTTTGAACATAATTATGAAGCATACATGCTGTAATCAAAAGGTATAGTGAATGTTTAAATTTTTAAAAATTTATTGCAGTATAACATGTATTATCATTAATCTTTCTCAAAATATATCCCCTTGCTTTGAACCATGACATTTGTCCGGCCATTTGTGGCCATGTGTTATTTCATTGTATTTTTCAGTCACCCTTTGCGCATGGTCATAATTAATGTTTGGCCTTCAAAAATCTACTAGCTGTAGCTTGGCTATTTTGTGTATAGGAAACTAAAAATATTAAACTAAAAAGAAATATATTTTGATGGGTTTTTTTAGGAATAATGGCTTGTTAGTGGCCATACATGCTTTGCTTTTTCTTTTTGGGAGAATGTTGCTATACTGAAATTGACTTTTTCATAGGTTTTTTTAGTTATATTTTTATTCCTTGTATTTTTATCATTCCTTGTATTTTTGGAATTTTATTGCATTATGGTAAGACAAAGAAACAGTTTCTTTTTATCATAGAACATCAGATACATTTCATAATACTTTTAAGCTTTAAAAAAATGCAGTGCTGCCTCCAGAAGGATTTTCCAATTATAACAAGTTTCACCTTTATTTGTCCATTCATGCAAATTGATTTTATCATGACTTTACCTTTTAAATAAGTACCACAGTAGAGAAAATAATATAATAAACACCTACATGTGCCGTTTAAACAGTTCTAAATGTTTTGCCACATTCATTTAACATACTTTTAAATGAAAACTACATGTGGAACCTTCTTTTTATCACTGCTTCACCTCATTTTTGTGCTTCTTAGGGCTCTCCCTATCTGAACATGTAAGGATGTATTCGTATGTATATATATGGACATTTCAGTAGGGCAAGGCAGCCACTGCTCCTGCCTCTAGGGTTGATTTGACTGTTCTATGAGTGTATGTTCTTTCTCGAAGTATTTAAGCCTTGCTTCAAGTCCTTTGTAGATTATAGATTCTTTTGTACTGTTATTTTACACACACACACACACACACACACACACACACGAAGCTAAAATGATAAGAAATAGAAATTGTTATATTTATTCCCAGGCTCTCACTTTGAAAATCATAAGAAAAATAACTTTCTTTCTTTCTTTCTTTCTTTCTTTCTTTCTTTCTTTCTTTCTTTCTTTCTTTCTTTCTTTCTTTCTTCTTGCATTTCCCTGCAATAAGCAGAGGCGTAAAATTGATTTGCTGATACCTCTGTTATCCTGAACTTAAAGTCTAGAAAGAGAAAAGTAGCTTCTCAGTAATGAATGTGTCGGGGGTTCTGTTGTGCAAATGAATTAAATATCCCAGTTTATTAAGACCTTTTATGTACGAATCTTTATAAAAATAATTATAATGTTAGATTGCATCTTCCTTTAGGTAGCTATCGGTATACTTGAGTATCATTCTGTTTCT